CCTCTTGATGAGAACCTGACCTTAAGTTTTTACATTGCTTCAACATGGTTTTGTTAACTTTAAATCACTAAATTGGCTATAGCCGTCAGGAAACATGCCAATGATGCCAATGAAATACTTAGAAATGTCACAGTGTAGTATTTTTGACATTTCTAAGGCATTTGATTGTTTTCTGAATAATTAGATATTCAAAGTTAGCAAAATCGTAATAAACGAGTGAATTTTGACAGACATTTTAACATAAAGTCTTATTTCGAGGGTGAATACATATTTAGGAAAAATTAAAAAACTGATTCTTTTTTAGTTTTTTTAGTTATTTTTTTTTGCGAGCACTCAGTACATTTGCTGATATCTTCTTCCGAATTAAATAGATCTCTCACAATATTTTAGTTTTTAGTCTTTAATTCGTCGCTAAGTTTTCAGAATTTTAATGTTCGTACTTTTTGAAATGTCGATATAGGCACACCGAGGTGATACACCACGTATAAAAAGTAGTTTTGACGTAATTTCCAGGCATTCATTTATCTGTTTCAAGTCTTGAGGTTATTACATAGTACGTGCAGTACCAAGAATATCGTAGTTTTTTTCCATATAATGATCAGTATTTTTGAAAGATTAAAAATGTTTTTTTTCATTTTACTTTTATGGTAAACCATGTAATTATACAGATTATTGCAAGGCCATCTCAATCATTAACGCCAAGAAATCCCAAGTTTCGATGTCGATGACCAATTATATTATCTTAACCTTCTTGAAGTAGGTTATGCCTACTTTATTTTAATTATGTTTTAAATAGTATTATTTATTAGTCGAAGCACTTGAAATTGTCGCAAATAGGACACATGTGAAAAGGTAATTACCATTCTACCATTTATTTAATTAGTTATTCTTCTAATTACACCGTCACTAAGTTGCAAATCTCTTTTGTAATTACATGTAATTTCATTTCTATACTCTTGGAGTTAGGAGAATTATGGTATTCACAAAAAAAAAACAATATTAAAAATTGTGTCACTGGGTCTGTAACCTCTGTTTTATATTTCACGTGTAATTTCGTTTTAACGATGATTCCAAGGAAATAGAACCAAAGTTATAGATAAGGCAAATATATCAGTCACTATAGAGACATGAATCAGGCGAGTCGCAACAGAGTTGGACTCAGGTCACTATTATTATAAAGCGATAGTTAAGTACTTAAATAGTTGTAGATAAAAATACATCATAATACAAAAATTAATATTCGAAGAAACATACTAGGGGGCTAATTGTTACAAGACGGTTACAAGTATTCTTTAGAAAATGGTGTATTTGTTTAGCTCTGTTTATTTTTAGCTTTATTGTCACGATTTTGGTATGGTAAAATTACTTCACTATGAAGAAAAACTGAAGTCAATTAATTATATGCTAAAATTCTTTTATCTCACGGAGCAAATTTTGTAAGAACTTATTGTTTATTTGGTAATATAAATATTAAAATATGAAGAATCTGCATGTGGCTACAGTGACTCTAAACAATTCTTCTTTATATTTCATTAATAATTTTTTTTCGGACTTATTCCGAACTGTGTATTTAACTGCAAATAACTAAAGGAGTTTAAGTTTTATTAGTTTTACTTTCATGTAGTGGAACATGGAAACGTACCAGCACACTTTTAACCTGTTTGTGACGAAGGAATATGTTTAAGTAAAATGAAAGACAGTAACGTGTTATTATTTAATGCCTTGTTGATAGAAGTAATAATAATAGTCATTGTGTGCATAAATTACACTGATAGAATGAGACCAGTTGATTACTGATAGAATGAGACCAGTTAGCGCAATTTATCACAAGGAGTTTTATAAAGTCTATGTATAAACTTGCCAAAATACAGATGGCCAAACTAGCCTATACTAGATGCCAAATTATTTATCAAAAGTTGGAAATTAAGATAATGTCTGGTTATTTCTGTCAGTAATATAATTCAAGCGGAAACCGTGACGCATATTTACTTCATGTATCTATAAGTGAACGTATTGATCGATTTTAGAAATCGGTGTTCGTGGTAAGGACGATAATATGAATTATTTTTAGAGTACAAAAATATCGTTTTAAATTTTAATAAATAGCATATATTGTACTTTGAAATCCCGTTATAGATTCGCGGAACAGTACTGAAATAAAAAATAAACCGTATTAAAATTAACAATTTTAATGCCGTTTAAATTTATAGTTCCGGAACTCAACGGAATTCAAATTGTACAAATTTCAAATGAATTTCAAAAGTACAAGTAGGTGTATGGTATTTATCAAAATTACCATTGATCTCAAAGAAGTTCAATTGGATTAAAATCTGGACTACACGCTGGCCAGTTCAACCAATTAATTCCAATTTCATCCAGCTACTCATTGACAATGAGATTCCTGTATTGTCAAGCTTCACCACAAAGTGATTGCCAATAAATAGAACGTATATGACTACAGTATCACCCAACATCCTTCTAATATATGCCCATACCAATAATAGAGCGACCCTGAAATATCACCCATCTCCTTAGCCTTTCCATGCCATCAAGAAAGTGCAAGCAGAATCTGCACTCATCTTTAAAAAGTACGTTACTCAATTGCTGAACCGTGAAATGTTCGTAAATACTCCCAAATTGAAGGACTTCTTCCTCTTTGATGGATTTTTGGACAATTGGCTGGTCTGTGTGAAATGGGTCTTGCTTGTTCCAGTCTTTTCCTGACCGTTCGTTGATTCGTTGATCGTTGGCTGATTCGTTGGCTACTCCAGGAACATGTTGTATAAATGATTGCAAAGATATTGGTATAGTATTTCTGTAACATAAAGCTCTTACCTGTTAAAAGCGATCTTGTCAATGGTTTGTTTCTTTTTTCTGTCCGACCCCGGTCCTCTGATGTTATATTCAGTCTCATCAAAGCGATTCCAGATGGGTATCTTGGGAATGGTATGCGGTATTCCCAGAGTTTGTGCAACAATTTTCCCACTTCTTAAACCATCTGCTTCTTAAACCAAATTTTACATTGAAAACGAAGTGAAGATGTGTCAAAATGAGTTTTCGTTTTGGCAGCAGAATAAAAACTGAGGAGGTATTTTGTAATCACAGAAAAAAATATTTCTCTACACAAGCGGAAGCTTTTCCAAGTTTCTATTGATGCCAAAGAGAAAAATACTTCAAAATAGAGCTAAGTTTCAGTTAGAATAACTAAACATAGGGTAGGGTAGTGGTCTATATTATATTTACAAGAAGGTTTTCGAAATGGATTGCTTCTTACAATTAGACAAGAAATAATGGTCACATGATTTTTTAAGAAAACGGTTTTATTCATACATACGAATCAATACATAAGTAGAGCAATTGTTTTCCCCTGTTTATATTATCTTTACTAAAAAAAAATGTCACTTGTGTTGGTTAAATAACAATGTTATTAGAATAGATTTTTATTTTAAATTTTACATAAATTGAAATGTCTTTTTTATTTAAAGATTGTGTATTAAAATGAACGAATTTTGATAACGAACTATGAGATCTTTTTATCGATATACGTTATCATAAACGGTAGATCATAATACGTGACCTAATCCCCTTTTGCCAATGGGAATTGGCAGGTGCAAATACTGCGGACTTTGCAGGATCGATGCTTTGAAGGCAAATAATTCGCATTTTTTACTAACCAGAGGCGCAACAAAGTTAGTCGCAATATAAAAAAGTGAACTTTTTCTATCCGTCAATTCATGATGCCCAAAATATAATCAGCTCCAGATTTCGTTATGCTACCCTAACTACTATACTTATACTAGTATACTAGTTCTAAGTATTTCTGATGTGTTCTCGAGTTATTGTGTACATAAAGATTATTAACAGCTGGGCAGACCAAGCCAACAGACAGACAGATATACTTACTCTATACACGTAGTATGTGGAAGTAAACTAACGTGTTTTGCTCTGAAATTATCAACTTGTGTATACATTTTGCATAATTTGGAGAAAGATTTATACGATATTTGAAATTAATTTAAGCCCTAACAGCTATTACGGTTATATTATTGAAAGAAATATACTGGCATACAATATGTATATTTAGTTTTCATAATTATACATTTAGACTATTTAAATAAAACTGTTTTGGTAAAACAGATAGACGGTAGTAACTAAAATGCTTATTTGACTACACAGGCATTATATAGAACAAGGAAAAGTACCTACTCTTTACATTAATTATCGTGCCCATCGTAAAAAATAATTCTTATTGTCTTTGGAGCTTAGTTTTATTGCCAACTTTTAAATTTTTTTGCTGACATATCGACCGAGACAAATATTAAAGCTTGCCAAATATTCTGCTGTATTTTTAACAGTTTGCCGAATTCTGAATAGACTTTTTTTATGCGTAAAATGTGCTGCATACATTCTGTTTCATTTGTTTTAACTAGAGAAACTGTGTTATGTAGTCTGTAGCTGTATGTAAATATAAATTCGAGTAAAGAGCGCATGTAAAAATAGTAGTAATTAGCTGTTCAGCCGTTATGAATTTGTTTGCAAAGTAAAAAATGAATAAATGTAGGTATAAACTTCTTTAAAGGTAGACTGTGATTGTCCACATTTTCATGTTCATATCAATGTTAATACATGCTTGTATCTGGCTGATTCAAAAGTATTGAGTATTGCAGTTATATTCAAATATGATTATTTATTTTATAAACAGGAGGATTAATTTAGAAGATTTGAGATAAATAGAAAGCACAGTTTTTTTTTCAATTGTATTTCTTTTTATTGAAATATAAAGTATATAGGATAGGGTTATGTATGGAATAGCACATTGGGCAAATGACCTACACGGCTTTGCTGGCACATAAACACTCTTTTGTCGAAATTTTCCACGACCATTTTGCATAAATGTGGCTGAATTTCGTTGATTGAGCGTTGAATCTTCTCCTTTAATGCATGGGTGGACGTGGGCTTGTTGACATAGATCTTTGACTTCAAATAACCCCATATAATGAGCCGCGGCGATAGCTCAGTGGGTAGAGCGCCAGGTGAGAAGATGGCGATTACTCCGAGAGCTATTGTCTACGCGGGTTCGAATCCCGCCTGTGGCAATTGGCACGTGTCACAGGGTTTGGTTGTGTGTCCTATGTCTCTTTCATGTGTATTCTCCCTCTGCACAGTCGTAATTACTCTTAGAGGGAGAATGTCAATTTCTGTGATGTGATTTATTTATTTATTTATAAAGAAATCCAATGGTGTTAACCTTTAGACTGCCGGTTAGCATTTTTCCCTTATAAATGGATATTTTTGAGGGGCAAAGTTTATATATGTATAAACATCTAATACATCTAGAGTAGTTGCCGAGGTCACGGATGGCTCATATATGAGCCAGGCCGGCTGGCAACGGTCGGGCCAATGTTAAAAATTTTCAGATTGTGTAAATTACTATATATTTATTTTTAACCGAATGTGCTTGATATTATAATGTAAGATATACTCTAAAATATATATATACTCTAAAATATATTTAGTCACCAATAAAACCACAAGCATCCAAACCGCCCCTAAGGAGGGGATGACATTTTCAAAAATTCGTTATTAGGTGGGTATTGATTTTTTTACACGATTTTTTTCCGTAAACACGCTGTAATATCTGTAAAATGTACCCTGAAATTTTCCCCAATCGATTGAGGTGCGAAAACTACCCCTAGCAAGGGGGTGAAATTTTCCGAAAATTCGTTATTGTGCGGTTACTGATTTTTTTTAGTGAATGTTCTCAAAGACTCAAACTTACATAAACTGAAATGATATTCGAAAAATTATTTTCCGATGTGTAAAGTTTTTTACAGACGTCAAATAATTCTTTAGCAATATCTATATTTTATATATCAAAAACACTTTTCTTCTGCTAAACCCAAAGCTAAGGACGTGGACATAGAAAGTGATGTAGCTCCATTTTTTTTTTGAATTTTTTTATAACTTCTTAATTTTTTTATTTATTTTATATTTATTTTTTTTTAATTATTCTTTAATTATTATTAGAAATAGAACAATATTAGATAATCATTATATGGAATAAAAAAAAATTCAAGTATCGCTAAAAAAAATTATTATTTATCCTAAATACAGTAATTCAAGTAAAAAACTAATAATTATTCTATGTAAAAAAAAATTAATTTGAAATAGCCGATAAAGTCAATAACCGTTTAATAAAGAATTTTGAAAATGTCACCCCTTTCGCTAGGGGTGGTTTCGGAAATTCAATCAATTGCGAAAAATTTTAGGGTACATTTTTACAGATTTTACAGAGTGCTGCCGAAAAAAATCGTGTAAAAAGTCAATACCCACCTAATAACGAATTTTTGAAAATTTCACCCCCTCGCTAGGGGTAGTTTCGGCATCTCAATCAATTGCGGAAAATTTTAGGATACATTTTACAGATTTTACAGGCTATTTAATAAAAAAAATTCAGTAAAAAGTTCAATAACGAATACAAGTTCAATAACTAGTTTTTAAATATTTCACCCCCTCGCTAGGGGTAGTTTGGGTACCTCGATCGACTAGAAAGAATTTCAGTTGTATCCTTTAGAGATCAGAGAGCCTATTAAATGGGAAAAATTCACTATAATATCTGTATTCATCACTAAAACTATTATTTTATTACTGTCCCATATATGAGCCAGCCTGCAGTCTAAAGGTTAAATCACATGATCTAGGGGGCCAATTCTGATCGCTGAAACGAGAGAGTACACGACCAGGAAGTTTCTCATGCAGTAATTGAATTGTTTCACAGGCTGTATGGCATGTTGTATCGTCTTGTTGAAACTACGTGTCGTCCATATCAATATCATCATCAAGAAGTATGGTTCAATGATGTCTCCAGCCCAAAATCAGCACCAAACCGTTGTGGATACATTTGTTTTTCGACAATCACATGTGGATTCTCTGAACCCCAAATGCTACGATTAACGAAGTCGTCAAGGTGAAAATGAGCTTATCACTTAGCATGATTTTGCTCGAAAAATCAGCATTTACTTGTTGTTCAATCCATGGGACGGTTGCCTTTAGCTGTACTTTTACGTGAACATTGCAGTCGTCAATAAATTTAAAATTTTGATGTGCTTAAAACAAAGTTAATTGTGTATTGTGACAAATTTCGTTAAATAAAAATTCGTTTTCGTAAAAAACTTATGAATTGTACAAAAATCCAGCAACATAGTCATTAGAAGAAATTTAAATCGTGAAAAGAAGTAAGTAAAGTAAAAGACAACCACAATATTATTATCTACATATCAACACCTTATTAGTGGTAAAAAAGAAGTTTAGTTAAAGTATACGACTCACTACAATTTATATAGAAGGACGACAACCACATCAAGCGCGAATATAACAAATGAATTAATATTAGATGAAATAAAAAAATCTAAGCAAGATCTGAAGGCATCAATTGAAGCTGTAGAAGTAAAAGTTTTACTGACAATCAAGGAAGTCAACAGAAGAATACATGCACTAGAACAAAAGAACAAAAACCTAGAAGACAAATTAGAAAATATTGAAAGAACAATAAACAACAAGAAAAAATAATATTATCATTTTTGGAATGCAAAATGTACAACAGATAATTCCTGAGATTATATGCCACGAACTAAAAACAGAAATCGATATCAGTTCAAACATATCTGATTTTAATAACGTATATCCATTGTATTTGTTACTGATGTAACAAATAGTAGATAGTTGGATGCTTTTAAAAGTTTAGAAATCATAAAATGTAACAGTATTATGAATAAGGACAATGGTCCAATACCCAACAGTCCACTGTTTGCCTTGATAAACAAAGACAGATGTTACGGTTCAGTGAACCGTGGCAGCAAATTAAGTATAAACAGAGCATGTGTATAGGTTAGAATTTAGTTTTAATCTTTTCCTCAAGATGCCAACCTAGTTGGCGAAACGCGCATCGAGAAAAGTATAGCAGTTCGGTGTTTTGTGGGAACGTCCAGTTTTTTGTTTTTACGTCGAAGGTTCCAGTAGCCACTCCACGAATTTCAAATATGGCGAATGCGCTAGTGATGGTAAGTTCTAATTTCGGAAAAAACGGATTTCATTTATTTCATCAAAAAATGTCAAATTCAACTGTTAAAAAAAGTCATGTGACCATTCACGTGCAAGTGATTTGTCATAATTTTTTAAGCAGACTAACAGAAAAATTAAAATTTTCCTTAACCTATTAAGAAAAAAATGTCCCATATGATGCAGATTTTATGTGTGACATCCTTTGAAATAAAAATGGGTAAGCATTTCCTAGGTACTATTTATTCAAGTATTATAATGTTTCACCATAAGATATTTTAAGTATAATAATTCAATATGATATTTTAAACTGGTACTTGGATATTACTCTTTACTTTAGACGTCTACTTGTAAATTTTCTCTAAATTAGTACGAACACTTGATTATTATTTGATTTTGCTCATTGTTTTATAAATTCCATGTGGTAAAATATAAAATATTTTCTCGTACAATGTAAATAGATTTTCTTGTAGTCCAAAAATGCATTTTTCATTTTACATTGTTTTATAACTCCATTCTTTCCAATTTTGTTTCATTGTTTCATTCAGCGTTCCATTGTTCTATTATTTCATTTGAATCACTGCTTTTTTTGAGGCCGTACAAGCACGTTGTCACCGTATGAAACCGCAACGATTATTAATTCGACTTCGAAATCGAAATGAAACACAGATATAAAAGTTTCAAGATCATTTAAAAGCATCTCAGATTTATATGCCAAGGTTTATACTTTCCATTTGTTGTGACAAATCAATGCTCAGGCTGTACGTCGTTTTTCAGTTTAGCATCAACAAGAAAAGTTCATTAAGAGCTTAAACAAATTGTACTAGCGCACTTAAAATAGTTCGAGCAAAGTCGATGTAATGGAATTAATAAAATCTTACTAACGCGCACATTGCCATCGAAAAGGATACGTCAACATGGAACATTTCATTGACTTTTTCATGTGTAAGCAGCAAACTAGGGCTCTTTCGGACATTTTAAAAATTAAGAAAACAATGAGTGACCCCAATTTTCGCCTGTTTAGCCACCCTCGAAATATAACTTCAAATGTATGCCAAATGATAGTTTATGAAAAAGACTTACAAGGTGTGTAAATTAAGTAATGAAACTGGTGTTTTTAAATTTTTTTTCAAATAGAATTACAATTTGGTATTGTCTCCTTCAAAATAATTTCCTTCCAGCGCTGGGGATGGTTCTTCCATTCCTCGTAGCAGTGCTGGAACTCATATACTGGAATAGCCTTCAGCTGGTCGGTTATAGCCGTTTGAATGTTTTCTATGGGTCCAAAATGACGTTCCTTGGAGGTGATTTTTTTAATCTCGGGAAGAGAAAAAACAGGCTGAGAAGCCACAATAATGGCTAAAAACTCGTTTACTGAAATGGCTGTGTGGCAAGGCGCATTGTCGTGATGCAACATCCTGTTGTTCTTTATGTTTGGTCTCACACGCATGACCCTTTTTCGAAGTTTTTCAAGAAACTCTTCGTAAAAATGTTGATATACTGTTTGGCCTGGAGGCACAAATTCTTTGTGGACAATTTCCTGGCTATTAAAAAACAAATCAGTATGCATTTGATCTTCGACGTGCTCATTCTTGTTTTTTGGGTCTTGGAGAGCTTGAAGTGTATCATTCCATGCTTTGGCGTTTAGTTTTCTGGTCGTACTCAAACATCAAGTCTCATCACCAGCAATGACATGTTCCATAAAATGGATATCATTTTCAATCGATTCCAAACAATTCAACGAACGAACGAACGAACGAACGAATGTTTTCATTTTGGGCTTTAGCGGAATATTTTATTAAAATATGTAGATTTGAGCCCAGTTTGCATTTTTTTATTTCTTAGGGGAATTGAGGTGTGTGGGGCGTTCCATACGATATTTTTTTTCATTTTCGGCTTCAGCGGAAAATTTTACTAAGGAATAATAGGGTCAGCTCGTTATAATAAACAAACTTTTTTTGTAGACCTGTCATCTGTAAGAACTTTTATTAAATACCAGCTAAAATAAATTATTACCGTACGTTCATCGATCAAACTA